GTCTAATGATAATTTACGAAACAAAAACACACAAACACGTGGACATCACGTCCTTCTATCATCAATTCTCAAAATGTCATTCATACCTACAGCCTAACCATGACCCCCTCCCCACCACCATCCCCCTGACCCCCACCTCATAAACAGTAGGGGGTCCTCATTCTAGTGTATTTTTGAAAAAAAGAAATCTACAATGTAAGAAATGCTAGAAGACACAGACAGGTAAAAGCTTTCTGAGCCACTGTTTGGTTGTGGGTGATAATAAAGATTAGTTTCAGTTCTTACCGTGGAGCAGAGAGCTGTACACTTGACTTTCAGTCTGGGTGACTCCCTGATTTGTGCTGGAGCTCTGACTGCTGCTCTCTGAGCGTTTGGATCTAAATCAGAAGAAATGCTGGAAAATTAACACAAAACACTGAAAATTTATGAAAGAGAGCAAGAAATTGTGTTACTGACCGAATGCAGCAGAAATCTGTAAAAATAAAAAATACCAACATTTGTTACATTTCAAGTGTTTTTGTTGTTTGTTGTTTCAAAACATTTTCTTCAGGATCTGTCGTTCTTGGTCATTTTTTTAAGTCTTCATATGAGCCTGCAATCTTGGTTCTATCTTAACAAATAAAACTTGACAATTCTGCTGCAAGTTTGTGTCATAACATTAGCATGATTCTATGTTTTTAAATAAATAGTTTACAGTTAGTTTATTCTTATGATCTAGAAGCAGAAGGAAAAAGTCTCACCTTCAGACTTCCTGTAGCGCCACAATAAGATCATGAGAATAATGAAAATGATTCCAGTAACTGGTCCAACAATCAGAATAGGAGACAAAGAGCTGACAGGACTGGATACAGCTGCTGGAAAAAAAAACATTCAAAATAATAAATATTATTTTATGACATATTTTATTGTTTAGAAGAATTGTAATTTCAATCTTGAACAAAGATCCACAGCACATAAAGCAAAATACCAAGTTTTTTTTTTACATTGTTCCTCCAAAAAAGCAAAATGACTTTTTAAATTAAAAGCATCAAATATTTTACCCTCCTCACCTCTAACTGCCATCCAGCTCTGTGGTGACGTCTTTCCTGAATGTTCACACCTGTAGAAACCTTCATCTGACTTCAACACTGCAGAGATTTTCAGCTCCTCTCTGGCATCATTTTGAAGAAGTTTGTTGTTGTGATAGAAAAACACATCAGAAAGTAGTTTTTGTTCTTTCAGTCTGCAGCTCAGYGTAACAGGATCTCCCTCAGTCACAGGAAGGGCGGGGCTCTCCAGGATAACATCATCATTATTATCATCATCTGTAAAACAGTTTCAGTCAGTCCTTGTTCACCATCAGAAATGACTAACTAAGTCAGTTTTACAGATACTGAGCTGTGTGGTAGTAGCAGAGTCATTCTCATACTTTAAGCACCAAAACAGCTGGTGAGATCATCATCATCATCTTCACATGATTTTCAGATTAAAATGTAATTAACCTCAAAATCAACTTAAATTGTGCTTTAAGGGTTATATATTTATATTTCTGTGTAAATGTTGTCGTTTGTGTACATTTATTAAATGCACAATGTGTAGGATTTGTTGTTTTCAGTGACATCTAGTGGTTGAGTGGCTGAATCATCCTCCCTGGTCCTTACCCCACCCCCACCCCACTCCCCTTCCAAACACAAAGGAGTTGCTACGGTGTCTCTCAGGTGTCAAAAACCTTTGATAATTCCAACC